GGGTTGGAGCAAAGATGTACTCTTGTTGGAAGAGGATCAGGTCAGGGAGTCCTTAAGCAAACTGCACGTACGTAAGTCCATGTGCTCTGATGGGACGCACCCATGAGTGCTGAGGGAGCTGGCAGATGTCATTGCGAGCCTACTCTTTTTAAGGTTTGATGGATTATGGCCATTGAAAGAAGTGCCCAGAGACTGGAGGAAAGCAGATGTGACTCCTATTTTTAGGAAAGAAAAGAAGGATGACTCCAGGAACTGCAGGCTGGTTAGCCTCACCTCCATCCCTAGGAAGGTGATGGAGCAGCTAATCCAAAAATAAATGTCCTGGCACATTAAGGGCAAGAAAATCATTGGGAACGATCTTCATAGTCATATAATTGTAGAACCATAGAACTGTTTGAGTTGGACTAGATGATTTAAAGCTCATCTAGTCCGACTCCCCTGTCTTGGGAAGGGACATCTTTCACTACATTAGGGTACTCAAAGCCCCATCCAACCTGACTGTGAACACTTCCAGTGATGGGCCATCCACTACTCCTCTAGGCAGTGTGTTCCAGTGTCTCACCACCCTTCATAATGAAGAACTTGTCCTTATGTCCACCCTGTATCTACCCTCATTCAGTTTAAAACCATTGCCCCTTGTCCTGTCACTACAGGCCTTAGTAACAAGTCTTTCTCTGACTGTCTTCTAAGCCCCCTTCACATATTGAAATGTTGCAATAAGGTGTCCCTGCAGCCTTCTCTTCTCCAGGCTGAAACACTCTAACTCCCTCAGCCTTTCTGCATAGGAGAAGTGCTCTAGCCCTCTGATGACTTTTGGTGGCCCTCCTCTGGACCTGTTCTGACAGGTCCATGTCCTTCTTGTGCTGGATCTCCTAGAACGTGATGCAGTACTCAAAGGGTTCTCACAAGGGTGGTGTAGAGGGGGGACTATTACTTCCCTTGACCTCCTGGCTACATCTTGGGAGCTTGTGTGGAGGTGTGGCTACATACTTCCATGGAGTCGTGCACAAACATGATCTCTTCAAACATTCGCTAAGCAGGATCCAGCTTCAAAGCATAGGCTTCATAGCTGTGGTAGCAAGTCACTGTATCCAAGCTTAAAAGCTTTGCTGAGGTCAGAACAGAGTACTGTTGTTTTGAGAAACTGGTCTAGTTGGCTTAGTGACAGTGTATGCTAATGTATCTATTTCTGCTTCTTAATTGTAGTTGTACATCCAGAGAATAATTTAGGATTATGTGTGATTTTATACATTTAAAAGCTAGGTATATGTATTATTCTGTTATTGGAATCTCTCCTTATTAAAACAATAGAACATTCCAGGACTCGGGAGACTTCTGCTAGTCCTTTGCATTCTGGCCTACCTGAATTCTTTTTTCCCTGAAGACTGATTTCCAGACCTATAGTCAATGCCAAAGGTGAAGTCATAGTACAATCACATTAATTCATCCCTGTGGAGATACCTTGCCTAATTTACATGAAAGGATGTTGCATTACTCCCTTATAGACTCACCATTTTGGTCAGGTTGTGAACAACAAATTGACCGGAGTCTTCATCCGTTCCGATTCCAGAGTATGAGCTTACAAGTGATGGAAGAAATGTATACATATAAGCTCCTAAGTGCATGAATGTGCACTCTGTGCTGCAGAGTTTTACCCCATTTCTCACGTTTAGTCCAGAGAATCGCTTGGATCTTCCTGATGTTGATTTGATCTTCCACTGTACAAAAAGTGGATCAATATTTGGTTGCATCTGTTGACCCTGCAAGTATACAGTAGTGTTTCCTGAGCTGTGTTTTTTTTTTTTTGCTGGGAAATAGTGCTTCCCAAGTTGACCCTTCAGCAGCTCCTCTGGTAGAAAAGTAGGTTGCTGTTTATCCCTGTGCCAGTTTCATATTTATCTTTCTGTTCTCACAGTATTCTCTCTTCCTTTAGCTTAAACTATTATTTTGCATGTGATACTGAATTGGTTGTTTTATTGTGGTCAGGCAAACAAGAGGTATGTTGTTTCCTGATTTGGAAAATGCACTTTATCATCAAAAATAAAAAATAAAGCTGGCATGGTTTACTTTTGGTAGAGTCATGTTGCATTTAATTGAATTTTCCTTTTACTTGAGGCTGTTCATTGTATTTTGCAATATTGAAATGCGGTTAATGGGCTTTCCGTTCATGAATCACTACCAATCGCTATCAATTTCTTAAATATGAGTGTTACCTTTGTTTGCTTCCTAGCAAGTCTAGATAGGAAGCGTTTACATAGGGGGACTAAAAAGTGACTTCAGTGAGTTTACCACTAGCCTTGCTTGATGAAATGTATCCCTAACTTTTATCTGGTCACTTTACACTTGCCTGAGCCTTTTACTCAATGCAAGGGAGTTGGAGTCAGGATTGGTCCTAACGTTGTGACACAATCTCATTCTCTTAGCAAAACTGGAAAGTGCATTCTGTTTAAACCTGTTAGACTGATCATCTCTAGTCTTAAATGTTAATATTCATGTATTTTTTTTCTTTGTCTTTCAGAACAATGGGTCACTTGCTTGGTGCCAGAATCATAAACAGTGTTCAAAGGTATGTCCTTTTTTTGAACCACACTTAAATTACTTAGTTGCTTTCAATGTCTTGTCTTGTCTGTAGATTAAGTGCTTTTCATTTTTACCTGTTTTCAGGGGCATCTGTTTATATTTTATTTGGAAACCTCAACCTACACTAAAATCTCCAAAATTAAAACATAACGATTTACTCTTTCAGGACAAAGGAATCATGTTTGAGGATAAGTATCAAGCTTAGTTAAATCAATAGTTCCGTGGTTATCAACAAACTTTACATTGGTTAAAATCTGGTGTATCATTTGTGTTCTTTCAGTGGTTTTGGTCGTAAAAGTAAAAATGTCAGTCACTTTAAAATCTTCCTCCAACAGCACTGAGGTATGCCAGCATTCAGCATTTCATTCAGTTTGGGTATTTTTAGCCTGATACTGAATTTCTTTGAAAAAATTATTGACACAAATCCCAGTGGCTTTGCTGATGCTCTGTCCTATCCTAGCACTTTAACCCTGAAAGCCTAGATGACAAGTGAGCTAATTGTCAACCCATTCTCTTGTGCCAGGAGTCTTTCTGTGGTGCGTTGATAGAAGCAACAATGATTTGGGAGCTTTGATGGGTCAAAGTGGAATTACACACTGTAGTGCTGATTGTAATTATCATGGATAATGCATCCATTGGAAATTTACCTGAAAACGGTGGAGGTCGTATTTTTGTCTAATCTTCCTGAAAAATTTATTTCTACAATAATGTAGGCATTTAACTTGAATATTTATTTTTTTATTCTGTGAAGGTTGTACTTTTGGAAATTGGATCAAATCCAAGTAGCATTGTTCTGTATTGCATTACATTCATAATGTAATCTGCGTAAATGCTGGTGTTAACCCTTGATTTTAACACGTGATAATTTCTTCTTTAAATGTAAAGAGTGAGATTACTGGGTCACTGATCTAGTTTCCTTTGAAATGAATGGATTTGGAAATGGACCAGTTTGTTACTGACTGTTCCATCCCAGGAAAATAAAACAAAGTTGATTGCTTTTGTCAGCATTAAAACCACAGTATAACAACATAAGTAGAAGAAGAGAGTGGAATAATTCCTATTGGCTGTGCTGTACTGCTAAGTATTGCACTTCTGCTATGACATCTCATCATTCTTAAAAACCTTCAAACAAACAGAGGTGCAGAGAATGAGGCTCATTGCAACTCACAGAATGGTCAGGGTTGGAAGTGACCTCTGGAGATCATCTAGTCCAATTCCCCTGCCAAGGCAGGTTCATCTAGAGCAGATTGCACAGGAATGTGTCCAGGCAGGTTTTAAATGTCTCCTGAGAAGGAGACTCCACAACCTCTCTGTGCAGCCTTTTCAGTGCTCTGTCACCCTCAGCCTACTGAAGTTTTTCCTCAAGTACAGATGGAACTTTGTGTGCTCCAGTTTGTGGCTGTTGCCCTTTGTCCTGTCACTGGGCACACTGAAAAGAGTCTGGCCCCATCCTTTTGACACCCACTTACTTATAAGCATTGATAAGATCCCCGCTCAGTCTTCTCTCCTCCAGGCAAAACAGACCCAGCTCTCTCAGCCTTTCCTCACATGGGAGATGTTTGAACTGAAGTGCCTTTTTAAGGAAAGTGTGGGGGGCTTGCCCAGCACCACAGGGATTCCTGATGTAATTTACTTTTTTATTAATTTATGAAGGCTGCCGTGGTATCTCATCTGAAAGGTTTGCCAGTGGTTTGTGCCTGTCCTACAAAGTAGGAATCATACAATAAAAGCTGTCCAGATTTTAAAGCAAGGCAAAGGTTATAGGAACATCTCTCTGAGCTACCCTTAAGTTCATAGAATCCACTTAAGATGGATGTAAGGTATTATGAATTTAAAGTTTGCCTTAAGATTGTATTAGTCTCTTGTAATCAGTGTAAGAATGCTACAAATTAATATTATTTTATAATGCAAAATGCAGCAACAGTTTAAGTTTTAAATTACTTAACATATACTTTACAATCATGTTACCTTATGTTTTCTTCCTTAGGAAGGTCATACATTTGCCTTAAGAAAGCAGCTTTGCTATTTTTAGAAAAAGAAATAGATATAAACTTGGTCAGATTGTTAGCTGAGCTGAACATCAGCAGAATTTGTTTCAGGCAAGCTTTGGTTTTCTGTGTTTTGCAGTGCATTACCTGACTGAGGATTTCAGAGCAATGCAGAGAATTGCATTAACCTTCTGAAAATGCAGATTCCTTTTCCTGCTTGTCAGCACCTCAGTGGAGGGTTTTTATATGAGTATTATTGTGCAACATATCTCCGATGACATTTTTTTTCTAAAGGATTCTCCCAGTGCCTACCTTTATTCTGTACCTGTGGTGTTTAGGTGATCTGTGTTGAAGTGCAGATGACAGCAAACATCCAGCTACTTTGTTAGTGGGAGGACTTTGAAACACTGTAACACCTTTTGCCTGTCCATCTGATACACAGTAGAGAAATTTTGTTTGGAAGTTGCATTAATGTGTCAGTAGCTGATACAGCAATAAAAGATGATGTAGTTAATTTAGTAACGTTTCTGTTATATTACTTTTTCATAGAACAGTTAATGGAATGGGAAAAGTACAGTGTAGTCCATCTTTTTTGACATAAGCAATCCCAATTTTATTTTAGAAGCATTTTTTTCATTCCAAGAACAGGTGAAAGTAGAATTCTTGGATGGGAGATGGAGCTATGGGGAAGAAGAAATTATTGTAAAGCATCTGATACAGGGTTTTTTTTATATGTTTTCTCCTTATTTCAAATAGCTTTGATACTGCTTTTGCCTTCAGTTTGCCTAGACCTGAACTGGCAAAAACCTGTTCTAAAATCGCTGTCCATTATTCTCTGAGAGTAAGATCAGTCTGGCTTAAACCTCTATTGAAATTTTGTGGCCACAATTTTTGTACATAGAATAACTGGGGAAAGTATTGTAATACTAGCATACAATGAAAGTTAGTTTTTTCCTCATGGAAATCTGTAGCCTTTAAGGATACTCTGTAATTGCAGATGGTTTTAGCTCTCACAGTAACAATTGTTGATCACTACCTGCATCCCAAATTACTATTTATTTTTGTTATTTTAATGGAACAAGTCACGAAATCATGACTGTGAGCAGCAAAACACGCACCAATGATTTTATATGTCATTTAATTTAATAATATCTCTCCAGAGGTCTATTTTACAAGATAAGACACAAAAGAGCTCTTGAATGCTTGCCCTGTTTTGACATGAGGTGGGTAATGTCAATATGTTTGTTAACAGTACTCTATTATAATTAGGACAGCTATAGGATTATTAAATAAATTGCCCTTTTTGGTTGCAGTAGTTATTTATTCACTGCCATCATGCACTCCTGTGTGTCTGCGTGTACAGACACACTCCGCTGGAGCTGTGAGGCCTTTTATGGGATCCTACCAGCTGCCTGGTTGGCTTATACTGTGAATATGAGTATTGAAGTAAAAATTGGAGTCAATGAAATTTGCTGTGAACTTCTTTGGAAATAGATTTGAATCCAGATTTTTTTTTTTTCATACAACTTTGTCCATAGTTCTATTTATTGGTGTGAGCTTACGGTCTTTATATTATTTTATAATGTCTTTTCTTATGTTCTGCTCATTTTCTACTCTGTTCATTCTTCTCATTACTACTTTATGGTGGGTATTTTTTGCCTTTTTTTTTTAATCTTGTGGTCTCAAGAACAGCAATTTTTATTAGAAATTAAATGGTAAAAAAACGTTTTTTGGGGGCCCCTACTTACAGTATATATCTGGTATGTTTCAATTTCTTATAGTCCCAAAAAAATATACTTCAGCATTGAAGTTTACTTTAAGTTTTAGACATTCGACAATTTATCCAGGAGAAAAGTGTTTGGTACTCTGGTTAAAATAAAAACCATGTTTGAGAACACAAGTATTGTACACACAAACTAATATATTTTTATGTGACAACATCTGTATGGTGTTTATATAGTAGTAAAACCAGTGACTATTAATTCAGTAACTATTTGGTCCTGAAGTCAGTTGTTTGCATCTTTAATATATTAAGTATGAAGCTGAATCTTGGAAACTTGGTAGGTTTTTCTTTGGAAATCAGAGGAATAGAACAGAAGAGTATAATTTCAGTTGTGAGGGACATACAATGATTATTGAGTCCAACTGCCTGACCACTTTAAGGTTAACCAAAAGTTAAAGTGTATTGTTTAGGACACTGTCCAAATGCATCTTAAACACTGACAGGCTTGGGGCATCAACCACCTCTCTAAGAACCCTATTCCAGCGATTGACCACCTTCTTGTTAAAGAAATGCTTCCTAATGTCCATTCTGAACCTCCCCTAGCCACAGCATTGAACCATTCCCATGCATCCTATGGGATGACTGAGAAGAAGTGGGCTCCCTCTTCTTCGTTGCTTCCCATCAGGTATTTATAAACAAGGGTAAGATCCCCCTGAACCACCTTCTTCCCCGTCCCAGCTCTTTGAGCTTCTCCGTATATAGCAAATGCTCCAGTCCCTTAATCATAGTTGTGGCTCTATGTTTTCTTCTTTTCTACTAAGCCCAAAATTACTCCTGCCTACTGTCATTCACAAAGCTGCTGTCCTGTCCTTAAAATCCTACTGCCTTCTGTCATCTTATAAACAGTGAGTCTTGCTAAACTGTATGTAAATGTAAGGCATCTGCTGTTCCTGTTCCCTTTTGCCAGCTTGCTTTTGCAGCGTGAGCTCCGTAGTGCCCAGTCCGTTCTTCTCAAGTACTTGCAAGTGCTGAGCACATAGCAGGTGCTTCCCTATAAAAACAGCAATAAGAGTGGAACACTGGTGAGAATAACATGAAATGACAAAGTGTCCCATGTTGATGCTGGTTTAGTGAAAAATGTAGTTTAGCCCTAAGGAGGGGGCAAAATGGCTGGGAAAGGCATTTCAAGAGAGTTTGTGAAGTAGTGTTGTCTTTTTCTGGGCTGTTTGGTGTGGGGGTTTTTTGTGGGGTGTTTTTTTTTTTTTTTTTTACAGC